AGAGGTAAAGAAAATTCCCCAACAAGGTCAACGCTGTAAGCGCACTGACGTTGCTGACATCTAGCGATTGTACTGCATTGAAAAGCACAATGGAGGTGGCATCATTCACTACTCCTTCCCCAAACACGATACTGTAAAGAAACGGTGTCTCATCTTGATTTAGAACCTTTGCACATGAGAATAAGATTACAAGATTAGACATGAGTTGAAGAACGTTGTATTCGGATTGAGATTATAGATTACCTGCAATGTACAAACTGAATCAGTTGCTGAGAATATGGCACCAATCGCTGCACATAGAGGAACCGGTAAGCACAAATGATAACTATATAATATAACCATGAAAACATATCATTTGTATCGAAACCATGATTCGTAAATGGATTTGTACTTACCTAGGAAGTCCTTAATGGTCAGAGTTGAGAAACCAAATCTATTGAAAAGTAAATCGGCACCTACAAAATGTTTCCAAAAAGAGCAGCAGTTAGAAGATAAATTAATTATAATTCCATCACAGAAGCAGTTTCCGCACTCCTGTTTATGTCTGGCCTCTGAGAAGGAGAAAAGTTGTGTGCGGAAATCATTACCCTTCCATTAAATTTCAAAAGATTTCAGGTCTTACCTAGTGATATGATGCAGAAAGAAATTACTGTACCGACGATTCCAAACAACAAAATTGTGGTGAAATTCTTGAAAAACTGCTTTTTCTTGACCTGGAAACTGAACAAGATCAAACCTTCAGAGATCAGAAACAATTCTTCATCATAACTTGAAGATCCCATGTGACAAAATTTAAGATTTGCATCCTAAATTCAAGCACACAGGTGATATTTCGAGATCCAAATTCGAACATCATGAAAGAAATTTCAAACCAAGCATTGAAATCGAAGCTGAAATTTCATAGAATTGAAAGTTGATTCATACCCGGCATTGAAAATGATTGGAGGAAGTAGATACAGAAAGAACAAGTCCTCGCTAAAGATCAAAATCCTTGAGCTTTCGAACCCTGTCACCAGCAACACCACCACTCCGGCAACCAAACCCTGAAACCCAACAACACAAAACACTGAAATTTTGCATAATTTTCGTGTTCTTGGCCAGAAAATCTCGACACAAAAACTATATGACACAAACAAAAGTGTACAACATTTTACACACCAAGAGAAGGGCAGTGATCGATTCATTGGCCCAGCGGTTCTCTTCGAGCAAATGACCGATAATTATACAAACGCAGAGGAGCGTGAAGAACACAGTGAGTGCAACGACAGTGCTGGTGTTGAGAAATGATTCTTGAAGTGGCAACTGAGACTGTATGGTTTCAAGAACTGCCATTTTTTTTTGGGTTTTTGTGTATATGAATTTGGCATTCACCTGGTCGGATTCGAGTTCGATCCGAATCGGAGACGAGAGGACAAAGCAGAGACAAACTGGAGTTTCTGGACCACGAAAAAGAACTGAAGTTTCTTGAAGTGATGAGGCTTCTGTGTTGGTTTTGTGTATGGTTGTCTTTGAATAGGACGGGTTTGGTTTGGACCATAAAAATGGAGGGAAGAATGGTAGTTGATGGCCATCCCCACAAAAGTGAATTCCGATGAGATCCAATTCATTAGTTTTCGCATATTTAATTCTATTTACTTTGCACGTTTAATTTTAGTAAATTAAGAAGTAATTTACGCACGTTTAATTTTATTCTAATAAGTGTTAAACATATGTTGTTTTTCTTTTTCCAACTTTTAGATTCGATTAAATCAAAAATCATGTGCTGAATAAAAAACTATGTGCGGAAATTACTGCTGATTGCACTTATACAAGTAACGCTAACACAAGATTTAGTGAATCTTACAGTAGGGCTTCAAACATATCAATGACAGTGATAGCATTGTCCGGCCACACACTTTTCACTGCCGTATGGTATGTGTGTGGGACTTTGTTCTCACATTTTCACATATACAAGGCGGACGTGCCGTATCATATGTGTGATGATCCAGTGTCCTCCCAGCTTTTCCACAGGCAGACGTGGCAAAAGTTTCCAATCAAAACATGCGTCGATTTGCAGGTGACGATCCGAGGGGTCCCACTTTGATCAGATCTTAATCTGACTTCCCTCCTCGAATACTCCTCTCGAGGGAGAGTGACCAACGATGATGATGCATCCTGCATGATCAGGTGACTGATCTCAAACTCCAACTCCACTCAAACTTCAACTCCAACGAGAAACTTTTAGTTGTAACAGGAATACGAATAGTACATTACGTGTTTTTATGTAAGTGGTAAAAAAATTTAATTTTTAGGTTAATAATTTTTTAACACGCATAACCCACTATTTATATAAGAACACGTGATATACCACCTCCTATGACGGTCACATTAAAAAATCTCTCAAACACTGAGTAATTAATCAATCAAATAACACCCTTTAAAATCAAGTTTTAATTATCCAAGATAGTCAAGGTCTTTCTTTGGCTCTATTTGGGGGAAATTTTTTTGTCAAGGTCTTTCTTTGGCTCTATTTGGGGGGGAAATTTTTTTGTGTGTTAGCATACGGGCGAGGATATACGTGTAATAAATAATTGATTAAAAATTAAAAAAGAAACTTTTTAACTAATTATATTATTATATTTAGTGTATCTGATCGTATTCTCAACAAACTATAAAGTTCTCTTATTTAAGAACATCACGGGTAATTTACAGTTCCAACTTTTGTAACTTTTGCACATGCACATGATATTTTGTATTGTTTTTAAATATTGTTTTTATTGATGGTTCTTTCTTTACGGGTTTTGACTTCATCTCCTCAAATCTTTTTCTTATACTTTTTTTAGTATTGAAAAATAACGAAGGAGGAAGAGGCAAAGGTTTTTTTTTTAGTATAGTTGTCTTCACCTCTACATAAGAAAGTAGATTTCTCGTAATCAACTATTGTTGAGAATTCTCGTACGTAACTACTGTCGAAGAGCTCATGTCGTATAATCTTTCTCCATTTAATACTATATCAAAGTTATAAAATATCAAAAAATGATCAGTATCTTATAATAGTAGTCTTTTGTAGGCCAATTGTTATTAGTTGCAAACTTACAAGCAAGCATATTGGGTCAAATTCTCAAATATAAATTTAGTTATAACATCGATCGAGCTAGACGACCACTATTAGAAAATGTATAGTTAAATCGACAAAGTCTCATATCACTTGCCATCACATCAGTTGATTGAACTTAGATAGAAGATGTTGAGCTTCTTCACCTAACTAATCGGTTTTGGTTTATAGATTGCTAGTCTCGGTTGCCTGCATGTATGATTGTATCTCCTTATTATACACATTAAAACAATAAATAATTTCGCAAATGAATAATCAAGGTTCTAAAAGACGCTAGGCGCTAATTAGGTGGTAGCCTGAAGTCTAGTGCCTAAGCAGCTATGCGGACCTAAGTAATTTTATTATTTCTTATAAAAATAAATACTTGCTCATACTTAAAAATTACATAACTTCATTGAGATACATAAACTGGAATATAGAATGACATATAGATTATAAAGTATTAGAACATAATGAAAACATGAAAAACAAACATATAATATGTGTTCATCTAAGTATTCAACAAGTCTTTTTGACCTAAAAAAAAAATTCAACAAGTCTCCTACAATTTATTAAAAAAGTGAAATGCAAAATGAAAGTTATTTATTTTCAGTCAAAGTGAGAGTCGCGACCTAGGCGGGTGCTTAAGCAGGTCTATGCGTCATTTCTTAATTTCCAAACACTTAGGGATTAATCGAGCTAAAGCTAGCCATCTAGCACTTACACAAGGTCTAGGTGGCGTTAGACAGAAATTGTCACATCCCGGCCCGGGGTGAATTACTTCCCAGGCCCGCTCCACTACCGTAACACGATATTGTCCGCTTTGGGCTTACCATTCCCTCACGGTTTTGTTTTTGGGAACTCACGAGCAACTACCCAGTGGGTCACCCATCATGGGATTGCTCTAGCCCCCTTCTCGCTTAACTTCGAAGTTCCTACGGAACCCGAAGCCAGTGAGCTCCCAAAAGGCCTCATGCTAGGTAGATATGGGAATATACATATAAGGATCACTCTCCTGGGCGATGTGGGATGTTACAGAAATATAATGTGAATAATTGAGGAAACGATAGTCATTCGATTTTAGTTTTTTTAGTTTTTATTTTTTGTACTTTAAATTTGATGGAGAATGGTAGGAGAGGTGAAAAGACAATATAGAAGAATAAGTAAACACAATATCTTTAAAAAACAACTTAAAACAATTTTTAGTTTTCGTTCATCGATTTTATTTTTTTATGCATATAATTTTGAGAATTTTAACGAAAAGCTTCTTATACTGTTCATTTTAACAAAAAACAATATTTTTACACCAAAAAGTTAATCCTGGTACTAGTAATCTTATTATCTCAAAAGTCAAATCATATTAATTAAGTCAAAATCCAATTATCGTTAAAAATTAAAAATTTTAAACCTTTTTCATTAATTTTCTTTATAATTTTCCATCATTCTTCACCTACTCCGCTCATTTCCAATTTAATGATAGTTGATTAAGACTTAACTTTCAACTTGCATGCGTAATTACTTGAACTGATCTCCTGCCGCTGATTGACCATCACGAGACTAATGACTATATATCAACCAAGGAATATCAAATATGCCAGTTCAATAATCTTATCATGTCTAGCCAAATCATATTAATTAAGCCAAAATCCAATTATATATTTGTTTTGTTTTCTTATATCAATAATTTGTGGAGATGTTGAGACGAGATTATATTCAATGGGCGCTGCCGGATTTGCAAGCTGCTGATGTCAACATATTTAATGTCGGATGCATATTGGGACCTAGATGGCTCCAGGACCATTCAAAGTTTGAGAAATATCCGTGTAAAGGTCCTTTGATATCCTCCAAATTAAAAATTTTCATAAAATATACGCGTAAAGGTCCTTTGAATCCGATATGTTTTCAGTCATTTGATTGTGAAATCTCATAAAAACTGGGGGTACTGATAGTTTTAATGACGTTTGTTTAACAAAACTCGGATTAATACACAGATAAGCACCAGTAATGATCAGCTAACGAGTTGAAGCCGAAAGAATTGTACACCACTCAAACTGTCAACATAATTTCGACAAGGAATGGCCTTGTAAAATCTCAACAATGATGCGAGGAACCTCGACTGTAACTTTGATACAAGCTATTCTGCTTTCACACCGTCTCCAGATGACTCTAGAATTCGTCTACATTTCAAAAATTTTGAGCTGCAAATCTGCAACGCGCCTTTCAAATCCGACATCCAAAACATACTACAAAACAGTCATCGATATAGCAGCAGAGCGAAGCTTCACGCCATCATCATTCCACTTAGACTCCGGGGCAGTAGCTCCAGCGATATATGTCTATAACGGAAAATGGGGAGAAGTGTTAACTTGATGAAGATATAGAAACCTTTGCAGGAACGGTTCGTTGAGATTATAGTGTTCAAGTTCAAAGGTAGGGTTTTGAATGTTTCGAAACTATGTGTTGACAAACCTTTCCACCGTTAACAGCAGCTACAAGTGCTGCATGCTGTTGTTGTATACCAAACTCGTAGAAATAATAAGTCCTGAAACATGTGGAATAACATATATCAAGATACATATTGCAAATACTATTTGCAAAAACATCCGAAAAATAACCTATGTTCTCATATGTTCTTCCACCAGCTATATTTTACAAATAGAGATGAGTTTTGAAGCCTTCCGAGTAGTGTATTTACAGACAAGAATTCATGATATTGAGTTAAATGTACGGAATGAAGGAATGGCAATAGCATAATAGGCGCGACTTCTTTCTTGAGAGAAATCAAACTTACCTAAAACCTTCTTCTTCCTTTATCTTTATAGCTCGGGCAGAGTATACAGTAGATCCAACTGCAATTGCAGAATGATTAGGATTAAGGATCAATACAAGACAAAGCTGAAGGAGGGGAAGCTGACAAGAGGTCTGCACACATTCCAATATTAGAATTTAGAACAAGGAGAATGTAAATCTCGATCAGCCCTTATGTAAAATCTCGATCAAACTCTTATGTAAAACTAAAGTTTTAAATCTAATTTTTTGGTTTACCAAATAAGAGGCCGAGAAGGCACAGATCGTGCTACAGTACATATACCTGGAATGAAGATTTTTGCAGCCTCCTTCAAGGAACCTAAATCCGTTATGTCTTTGGCCTGTCCAAGTTAGCATATATTATTGTAAATAGCATTTTATCAAGCAATTGAGAAAGAGCACGTAAATAAATCACCTAATGTGGATTCATGACAATGTAATGGAAGATGTTATGCTCCTAAAACCTGATCGGCCATGAATAAGACGGTGAAATTACTCTAAGATATGTAAATATATTGCAAGGTTTATATCTTAAGAAGCCAATATGTCTGAAGGGTCAGACTAGTAACGAAAGGTGAGCATTACGAAAGAACATTTCTCATAAGTAGGCGTAGTTTGCAAAACGTTGAATTCATGCCACCCATGATACATGGGATGAAAAGGAAGTCAGAGAGAAGGCTAAAAACTATCAACAAATCCATTTAGATGGCAGAAATCCAGTCAAACATAAATCTAAGAGGAAAAAACTTGCTATAGCACATCTAATATAAATGCAGAAGTTCCAGCCTGCCAAACTTTCCATCATTCTCCCCGCGCACAAAGAACACCAGAAAATATAACAATAAGCCTACGCAAAAAGCAAAAACGACCCCTATGTCTACCAAACTTTCCATTCGGCCAGCCACCCCCTATGTCTACCAAACTTTCCATTTGGCCAGCCACCACCTCAACCAACGTAGTGGCCATAAACCAAAAAATTAACTAGAGAGAGCGAGAGAGAATAAGAAAAGGCCACAATATCCACAACCTAAAGCAGTACTGTTGTAAATTCACGAGTGTGCACAGCACACACATGCGTTAGCAATGAAACGAAGTAAATCAGTTCAGGACAAATTCTATAAAGAAAAATCAATGACTGTCATTGCAAACCTCTAAAAAGGTGATCTTGAGTGAATTCGATGGGCGAATAACAACACTCACAACCTCATATCTGCATCAACAAATAACAAGGAGAAAAACAAATGAAAACGAATACGAATCACTGAAAAACATAACGTTCTACATTGTTAGCTTTGCTTCATGTAGAAAGAAAATTATCTTTAAAGGTCTTGGACCACACCGAGACCAATAAGTTATCATAACAAAAACTTTGAGGTGCAGCGAACTTGTAAAAATGGCATACCCATCAGCAGATGCAAAACGCGCTGCAAAGGTCTTGGGCTTTACCTTGTCTCCATAAAGGGACAACCCAGAATTGTAATCCTAGATTTTAAACATAATAACGCAGTCAGTTAGCAATGAAAATTTCGAGATTACGTATTCTGAATCCTAATATTACTGGTATAAAATTTAACTTGAAGAAACAAAAAAAAAAAAAAAAAAAAACTCCAAAGTATCTCATATCTGAAGTTTCTGAAGAAGCAAAAATACCAAGTAACACAATCAACCCAAAAGGCAGTGGATTTGCATTGCCCGAAAAGGCAGTAACTTTACCAAATTGTAGTATGTTCTGGTACAAAATTCACAACTTGAAGAAACAAAAAATGAATTCTGAAGTTTCCGATATCAGAAGCAAAAATACCAAGTAATACAATCAACTCGAAAGCGAATTACCCAAAAAAGGCAGTAACTTTACCAGTTATAAACTCTATGTATATCCAGAGAACGAACTTCCCCTACAGACTACCATTATCTCTCCTCCAAAATTAAGCCTAAAAAGTGGATGCAAAAACATATGCTGCAAATTGGAACCACTCACAGAGTACCGAAAAACATATTGAATTTATCTAAAATGTATGGGGGACCTAAGAATTTAGAAAGTACTTCAAAGTTGTTGAATGCAATCTTACCTCCGGCTCCTGAACGTCCTGAAACTGAGGAGGGACCCTAATGGCAAACCCATCTCCGAAGAACTGGAACCAATTTTTCGTGTTGGCGATGCCAGAAAGAGCCGGCCTTGGAGGCGGCGGAGGAGATTCCGGTGAAGAATGGGCAACTGGGTGTTGCTGAGGGGTCAGAGAAATGAGGAAGAGGGAGGTTGTCTTGAGGATCAAGTTTCTTTTGGAGGAGGTAGGAGTGGTGGTGGTGGTAGTGGTGGTGGGGAGAGAGATTGTGGGTTTTGGGGTGGTGGGATTAGGGTTTTTGGGAGGATTTGGTGGGTGGGGAGAGAGGGAGAGAAGAAGAATGGCCATGAGAGAATGAGGATGGCATTCATGGCTGTTGAAAAATTTGGAGGGAGATAATGTGGGACAGGATTTGGGGGTTTTGTATGTCAGGATTGGGAAAGTTGGTTTTAGGGATTTGAAATTTTGGTTAAATGGAAAGGGTAGTTTAGTCATTTGGACTAAATTGTGCACAAAGATGGAGATTTTTGCAACTAAATTGGTCACTTTGAAATAATTGGATATTTTGACTCTTAACAAAAAAATTGTCATAACTAAAGTTTAATCTAAAAAGTTAAAAAGTAAAGTAACAATTATTTGCCCACTCAGTTTGGAATTCACGATTTAGAATTTCACATTTAGATATTCAGTGATATTGCATGTTCTTAAGTTATGCATTTTATCCAGTATATAGACATATCTTTATACAATATTTAATATAATGATGCGATATAATTGATTTACCCAATAAATTAATCCGTATATTCGATCTGGAATCCACCATTTAGAATTCTAGGTCAAGTAGATTCTATTTCTAACAAAGAAAATCTGAGTAGAGGAGATTTGAGTCCCATAAAGCTACAATTTGGGTTCATTTTGTGTAAATTCCATTTTTGCCCTTGTTATCAAGACTCAAGCACGTAACCAAACAAGTGATGTGTTCACCTCAAGAAGCCACTTTTGAAAACCAACAGAGAGCCTACATGTTATCCATATTCAAGTTCAGCCAACCAATCCCAACACACAAAAACATTTAGAAAATCAAACCCTCCTCTCCCTCCTCTTATGGTTCACCATTCCTAAAACTCTTGTTCTCTCTCTCTCTCTCTCTCTCTCTCTCTCTCTCTCTCTCTCTCTCTCCCCAATGGAAACCATTCTTTCTTCTCCCTCACTCTCTCCTCTCTTCAACCCAAAACCTTCTTCTTTGAAGACCCTTTTGCCCCCATCCCTCCAACCCAATTCCAAACCTCTCCTCATCACTTCAAGCCTCAAAAATCACTCAATCCAATCACCAAAAACATCTCCACCAACACCCACAAATTGGGTTTCTTTTGCTCAGCAAGGACTAGCTGCTCTTGCACTTTCATTGGCACTAAACTTCTGCCCAATATTGCCTGATGGTAATGCACTAGCATCTGAGTTTGATGTGCTCAATGAAGGACCCCCCAAAGAGTCCTACGTTGTTGATGATGCCGGCGTACTTAGCCGCGTGATGAAAGCGGATATAAAGAATTTGATGCAGGAATTGGAGTACAAAAAGAACTTCCGGATCAATTTCATCACTGTTAGAAAGCTCACTGTAAGTTTCCTTCTGTTTTCTAAGTGTTCGCTAATGTATGTTTGTTTTAAGTTTTGTAGATATTGACCTTTTCTGGGATCCTTTTGAGTTTTTAACTCCGTCTACGTTGTCTTTCAAGTGGCTCAGATTCACTTGTCAAATCCCTATTGTTTTTTAGCGCATATCCAACCGTTAAATTCAAAAATATATGTCATACATTAACGGACTCTAGAATTTTTTATGGCTTGGTTGCAGAGCAAAGCTGATGCTTTTGAGTATGCTGACCAAGTTTTGGAAAAATGGTACCCTTCTGTTGAAGAGGGCAACAATAAGGGCATTGTTGTGCTTGTCACCAGCCAAAAAGAAGGTGCGGTCACAGGTGGTCCTGCATTTGTTCAAGCTGTTGGAGAAAGTATCCTTGATGCAACTGTATCCGAAAACCTTCCCGGTAACTATATGCCTTCACTTTTCTTACTTCAAGCAACGATTTTTTACAATGCTAATATTTCGTGTCAAGTCTTAGTTTCTGAGCATGATTCAGATTATATATAATACGTAACTGGGAGTTGAACTAGTTTTGTTCGATTGAAATGTCGGGTGGCGGAAAGTAGAGAAATGTAATATGAGTACTGAGCACAACACAGGGGAAGTAGGATCTAGTTAGAAATCTTTGTAGGTTGGAAACCCGTATAATCATAGAAGACTGTTGAAGTGAATAATTCCTGCAAATTAAAGGGCACCAAGTGCACGGCGAGCCCTTGCAAAATGTTTGGTGAAGGACTACATGGTCGATAGTTCCATACATGATACGCCATAGTTTTAGTTTGTAAGGATTTTGCAGCTAAGTTGATGAGATTATTGGATGTGTTGATTGCAGTGTTGGCAACAGAAGAAAAGTACAATGAAGCCATTTTCAGCAGTGCCAAACGGCTAGTTGCTGCGATTAACGGACTTCCAGATCCTGGCGGACCCAAAGTTAATGAAAACAAACGCGAATCCAACTTCAAAACCAAGGAGGAGACAGACGAGAAACGCGGGCAGTTCTCTCTTGTAGTTGGAGGATTGCTGGTGATTGCCTTTGTTGTTCCTATGGCACAGTACTATGCTTATGTCTCAAGGAAGTAGAAGTAAGAGTGGAACTTGTTCATCAGTTAGATTCGTCTTTCATTATTTCTCATAAATTTCGAAAACATGCATAACATGCAGTTGTACAAATCGATCGAATTCAAATGGTTGATGAGAGACTTGAAATCAGAGAGGAACATGGTTCTTGTTGACATTTGTAAAAATATACAATCGAATTGAGTGATTATACCCGAATGCTTTCATTTTCGGCCACAACCTGTCCGCTTGCGTATGATGCAACGGTGTATACCCGCTTATACAGATGAATTTTTATGTGAGAAATATGCATCCGGTGCCACACTTTGAAATGGTATTTCTGTATAAATTTGTGAGAACTTAAGGTTTACTGTTACATTTAAGAGTTGGCCTTACGAATATCGGACAAATGTTAAAATATGTAAATAAAACATGTTGGGGCTTCAGAACTTGAGCTTCAGAAGGAAAGGCATTTTATCCGAGAAGGGCGGATCAGAGTACTTCCCGGTGAGTATCTTGGACGAGACATACTGATTCGCAGCTTCGGTGTAATGAATTCCATCCCAACTAATGTAATCAGAACTATCTGTGCATCCCTTGGCCGTGACATTTGTTCCGTTCAACGTCTTTGTTTGTCCACAGGTAATGTGACTGTCGTAGTTCAAAGGGGGACCTCCGTACCCGCAGCAAGCCATAATAGGTTGCTCAAATCCTGCAGATACAATCCATAAAATCAGATATGAGATGATTAAAACAGAAAGGACTACGTACATACGTAATACCCGATATAATTCGCAATGAAGAATCACAAGGCACTCAGATGTACTAACCATTTTTTGAATAATTTGAAATGAGCTCAGATTTGATCGAAAAGATATCAACATATATGACACTTGCATTTGAGTACTGGTCTTGCAACTTTTTGGTGAGAGCATGAAGCTGCAGGTTAAAGAGTTTAGCAGCTTGGTTGTGGTCGCTCACGCATCCTTGTTCGTCAAGCTTCGAGGGATCAGTTCCAAACTTGGCAACATTCTGCGTCAAGCATCCGAGAGGACCTGTGTTGTGTATCCAAAAGTTCCTACCTCCTTGGTCATATAATCTCTGAAACGAAAACAAAGAATGTCAGGTGGATGTTCTTCTTACTTAAATTCAAAATTATTGACCATCCTTGTTGTGTTTAATGTACTGACCTTTACTCCAGTTTCGAATTCTGTAAAAATCGTTGGAATAGACGCGAGAATCTCATCCAATGATTTCGAATAAAATGCACCAGCGAGATCATTCTGGCCTATATCGAACATGTAGAGCCCTTTCGCGAAAAAATCTTCCGTAGGCAGATACTTGGGAAAGCTCTTACCTTCAGCTAGCAATTCAAGAACCTTGGCTTTGAATCTAAAAAACTGGGAGACCTGGACCCCGAAAGAAAAAGGGCTGATCGATGTTGCAGTTGCAGGAAGTATAGTTGACCCCGCCGCGGCAAAGTTGCAACCATTTTTGAAACTCGGCAGGCCAACTGAATCCAAGTAGGCATTGAGAAACGGAAGCTCCATTGCATCCACTGCAAAAACATTACACAACAAAGAGCAGTCACGAGAAGGCGCGAATAAAGAGCAGTCAGTAAACAATTTTTGAAAGAAATTAGAACTAGCATAAACTTTAGATCAAAGTCGAACTCATAACATGAATTAAAAGCAGCAGAACAAAGCTTAGAGGGAAAAAAAATGGAAAATTACTAAGAAAATCGACGATCAGGCGGCCATCGGAGTATCTCCCATATGGGGTTTTGAAATAAGATTGTCCATAAGGAGAAATAATGGTCTCAATGCCTGCGGAAACAAGGTTGCCAGTGTCGGAATTCGAATCACCAAAGTTGAAAACGGCAGGGTGGTTGAAGTGGATGGATTTGGAAAGAGGCAAGAAGATGGAAATCAATGTGAGAATTTGGATAATGCAGATTTTGGTAGCCATGGAAAATGCAACAGGAAGTTCTCTCACTTATTAGGCTGTTGCTTTCACCTAAATGCAAACAAACCAACAGAAAAATATATATACTTTATGAAGCCTTTGATGATAAGTTTTTGTTTGGTGAGCAGTGGGGCTCAAGTGTTAGTTGTTGGTTTGCTTTCACATGTGGAAAGCTAAAGGCCCAAGACAAAAGCGATATTTAATCCATGGGAAGGGAGGGTTCAAATTGAGAGGTACAGAGCGGACATACTGTCTTGACTAACCAGTTTAATCTTATATCTCGGACAATATCCATATACATTTACATGTGTAATGTATAAAAATGTGAACGTGGATTAAACCGAAAAATTGCAGGGTAAAGTAAAAACATTGCCAAAGGTGCGTTGTGAGAAATTTACTGAGAAAATCTATGAGGAGACGGCCATCACAAAACCTTCCGGAGGGAGTTTTGAAGAAAGACAGTCCATAAGGTGGTGGAAGCTTGAAATCAAAGCCGGCAGCAAGCACGCCGGTGCCAGAGTTTGAATCGCCGAAGTTGAAAGCGGCCGGGTAGTGAAACTCGGTTGAGTTTGAAGGTGGAAAAATGGAAAGTAAGGTGAAAATTTGGAGGGTGAAAATTTTGGTAGCCATGGATGAAGAGGCTTAATGTTCACGGATGTGTTATGTACCAACCACCAAAATATAAAATCATGCATCATGTCATGTGACGTATGGAGCCAAGTTTATGAGCATGGTGAAAGCTTGAAAAGTTTGCTTTGACTTATGGAGAGGATGAATGAAGGCAAAAGGCCAAGTGTACAACACTACAAACTACAAACCCCAATGAACAAAGTTATATTTTATGTAAGCAATGTAGCATCATTCTCCTAAGAGAAATGCTAAGAAACTCTTCCAAAATAGACTCTATGTCACTTCACAGTTTTAACGTTAATTCATGTGCTAATATTATAAAACATTGTGCCAAAAACATGAGGTGTTAGAGAGTCTACACAGAGTCATATTTTTGAGAGAGTTTTAGCAATTCTCTTCTTGTAAATATTAAAAGTAGTGACTTTCACGCTTCTCGTTTAATTACTTAAATTTTAAAAAGAACATATATACACTTAATATGAAAGTGATTTTCACACACTTTTATTTTCTTACACATGAATGTCCAAATTAAAGATATTGTTCTACATAGCTAATATATAGGGTAATGATATCTACACACTTATTTTTACCTCTCGCATACCTCTCTCAATCTTTGCCGTTAGATTGAATGAATGAATTAATTAATTAAAGAAGATCAATGACAACAAATTAACAAAGGTGTGTGTGAGGTAAAAATTGATGTGATATATATATAGGATGTACTTACTAGTGCATGCACGAGATACACAGTCGTTTATCAACATGCGGAAGTAGTGCATGTGACTATGTGACTAATAAGGTCAGAAACTTACTTAGAAAATCTACGATCAGACGGCCATCGCAAGGCCTCCCCGATGACGACGGAGGTTTGAAGTAGGTCTGTCCATAAGGCAGTGGAAGATTGAAACCGAGCCCGGCACCGAGCTCGCCGGTGTCGGAATTTGAATCCCCAAAGTTAAAAACCGCCGGATAGCTGAACTTTATCGAATTCGCAACCGGTAAGACAATCATCAGGAAGGCAAAAACTTGGAGAATAATGGAGTTCTTGGCAGCCATGGATGTTGGAATTTGAAAAGCTTAATGTTCAAAGAGAGAGCAGCTGCAATGTGATTGAAGCGTTAAGCATGTGAGACAAGAAGTAATATTTATAGGGTTGTTTTGGGTAACGGAGCCAAAGTTTTCTTTTCCTATTTTTAGTTGGAAAGCCAAGGTTTCCTTCGAGTTTCGGAAAGACCTTCAATGTTGCCAAAAAAGCAAAGTATAAAACTACGGTTTTGCCCTTCACGTATTATCTGCAAATGAATGTACCAAAACACCCAACGAACACAGCTATATTTCGCTAAGAATAATGTAAGGGAAACCAAAATTTTAAACTGAATTGTGTAAACTAAATGATGTAGTTGTTAATGATTTGATTATTAATTAAAAGTTGGTGACACATTATTTAATTTGCAAATTTGATTTAAAAATTTGATCTCTCTGATATTATTTTTTGGTTAATTAGTCACCCATAATAAGATCCTTTAACCCTGACATGAAAATAATAGATTTTAGATCAATTCCTTAACAAATGGGTCGCTATCATGTCACATTTTAACAAGTCGGGTCGTTATCGGGTATCCCGTTAAAAACCCAATAAGATATCGTTTACCAAATCCAAACATTAGATGTGACAATTTTTTGGATGACCTATTAACTCGACACAAAACGACATACTCCATTAACAAGTTGAGTCGTTATTGGATCACATGTTAAGAACCCGTTAAAATAACTGGTTTGACACAATATGACCTTTTAAGATAATATGTATGATGCAAAAATGACATGAACACGACAAACACGACCGTTTGCTAGGTCAAGTAATAAAACAGCTTCTAAGGGGTGTATTTGGAATTTTAGAAAACCAGGTGGGATTTTTTACTACTTTAAGCAAGAACTACATGAAGGACAGTAAAGCAAGCAAGGGGTCAAAACTTGTATTTTGAAAAACGTCTCACAAAACTTTTCTTTTTGTTCTGTGATTCATCTAAGATTTTGTGAGATGCAATTTTGTTCGATTGTAGAAAGCTTACCAATCAGGCAATCTCATATTTGAGTTCTAAGTCCCGTTGGACCCAATATTCAAAGACGTGCTTTTCCAAAAACTTAATACAGTGTGTCTGCTCTCTTGCATTAAAAATTAATTCGCAACTGTGTGTTTTACAATGACAATAATGCCTTGTCATAAAGATAATTGGGCTTTTAAACTAAAACACTTTTACTCCTCAAAAGCCCAACGCAAGATATCTCTTTTTATTTGGACTGAAAAGCCCTACCCAAGATCTCTTCTCAAACCAGTTTAATAGGCGCACACTCCTCTAGCAAGCGAACTGAAACATCTTAGTAGCTAGAGGAAAAGAAAGCAAAAGCGATTCCCGTAGTAGAGGTGAGTGAAATATTCTATATTTCTACTTAGCTTTGAAAGAATTCAGTAAGGCTGCCTTACTAGGGCAGCTAGACCGGTTAGCACTACGTAAGGTTGAGTGAGACTAAAATACAGAGATCTCATGCTTTTGTGAGAAATGCTCTATGTATGACACGGTCGGTGCCTCTACCCTACTGTTGCAGTTCTTTAAAATATGAGCGATGTTCGATTAATCTCACATGTCAGGCAGGATTATACTCTTATCATTTCAACAACTTGATAGAAGAGAGTGACCTGACCCGTGACACAACGGAACTGATAATTCCTGAAGGTTTATGCAGAACAATTGAAGTATCTCCAGCCGCTTCGCTTTGTGCATCCGATCTTTTAGCAGCTGCTAATTCGTTCTTCAGTGCCTTATTCTCCCTCTTAAGCTGCAACGGCATAAAACCGGCACAACAAAATTCATATTGAAGAAAGTAGACAAGGCTGTTTACACGCCATTCTCGGTACCAAGTAACACGTACCTCCTCAACGGTGGATGCAAGATCTTCCACTGCTTGCTGCAGTAAGGTAATCGTCTGTGAAGTAACATCCGCCAATGCTGAGTCTACCTCTTCAGGCGAAGAAGGATCAAAGAGAATTCCACTCAATGTGAACAACTCCTCGAGTAACTTCACATCTTCGGCATCAAATCTCTCCCTCAACTATAGTATGGAGGTATTAGAAGCTATAAAAATAAAAAAAAACGTCACAGAAAACATTTTCACAAGAGTATTCTAACCATCTCAAGAATTATCTCGCATGACTCATCTTTAGTTGGGGAGGGAGGTCCGTTCTTTTTAGCAGATTTATCTTCGTGACCCTTGAGACGCGGTGACATCTTTATATGCTTTGCCCTGGCAGAGTAAGAATCTAACCTTAAGAATCCTGAGATTCAATTTTGAGTCCTAATTCGTAATTAAGCGATATGGGATGTTGAAAAGCATACCTCATCCCAAAGCGAAGAGTGGACAGACTCTCCAACGCATTCGAAGGGCTTGGTGAGCAACAACACAACAATGCAGTACGCGAGTTACCTCCCTGCAAGATGAGAACCTTTAGATCTTCAGTACAAATCGACCATGCTATGGCGAGGACTAAAGGGAGGGAAACTGACCAGTGAATCTTGTAAAATCCGAGTGAGCTTGGAATCGCGGAAGGGAATGTGGTTTGCTTTGCCCGATGACCAGCATGTGAGAGCATTTATCACATTTCCAAGGGCTGAGAGAGACTTGTTGATTGTCTTAGCTTCTTCAAGAACTTTTCCCTCAGCTCCGGTTTTCTCTACCTTCTCAGATCCAGCCAAGTCTACAAGAATTAACTTTCCAGCTTTCGACCTGTACATGGATTCAGAATGTTCAAGATCATACAATTGAAAACTTGACACCAATATAAATTAAAGAAATTTTACCTCTCATCTTTCTTTACTTCTTGCTGAACTGTGAATATGTATATGCAGTGGCTTCTGCTGCTGGACACATTCATTTCTATATCGATATTAAGTTTTACAGAAAATGGATAACATTGTCAGCCAAAAAAGAATGCTGCTATTTATACTAGGAAATTAAGAAATAAGTAGAATGGAAAAAGAAAGCAAAGGATACGGGTCTCTCCCACAGCCCTGTTAGCTATGCCATTCTGCATTATCAACATCGCCGTTAGAATGTAAACCATATATACAAACTATAGGAGATTTCTGAAGAAAATATATCTTACAGATAGGCTTTGCAATGCTTCTGCAGGACTCGACACAGAGATCTACAAAAAAAGAAGGAGGGGGGGGGGGGGGGTGGGGGTGGGATCACAACTCACAAGCTGTTACTCAATCCGAAGGCATCATACAGCATATATTTCAGAATACTCAATGTCTAAATCATACATAACTTGGAGTCGGTTTGTAATCGTCAGTTTTCTTGGGCTCAAATAGTAATTTGTGTGACGATAAAGGATTCAAGCAAGCAACAGATTCAAAAATCAAAACATGACTGGGATGATTCAAAAATTCAATAAGTACTCCCATTGATATCATGGGTATACAACTTATTGCTTCAAAGGATAAGCATACCTCTGTTACTCCATTTAACAATATCCCCTGCGATTTACTTTCCTTAATCTGTATGTTGTCTTTTGCTAAATCAAAAAGGTCCCTGAATAAAAAGTACTGTTAGCACTAATCGCAAGTATGGTATAGTTATTAGAACCTTCCTGGAGTTCCATCCTATTCGGCTTATTTCATGTTCCAAACAGATAGTGCATTCGAGCCAAACTGAGTCATTACGGTTATACCTACCTTACTCTTTCCATGTAGATCTCTACCTGAAAAGAGAAACAAACAGATACAGAGAATTACATTGGCAGAGATGTTACAACTTGAAACCAATTATGTCACCGAAAGATAAGCAAATCTCAATACCATTGACAATTTGATTGAGTGCTTCATTGTTCTTTCAGAAGATTTAATGCAATCAAACAGACCCTCAACTACTCTTGGAAGTAATCCTCTCTTCTGCTCGTCACGTACCAGTATGCTAGGCCCCTGCACCAAATACGTAAACATCACCGTGTGTGAGCTTAATTAATTGAATATCGATTAGCAGTCATCACTACAATATTGTGAAACCGCAGCCTCACCTCCATGCTATATGTCTTACCCGCTCCAGTCTGCATTCATTGCAAAAGGTTTTGTAAATTAGAACCAACAAAACAACTAAGACATGCAATTACTAGATAGAAATTTAACACATACAGGCGATCGCCATAAGGAGAAAAGTTAGACAACTACGTCACCTGTCCATAAGTAACGATCGTCCCATTGATTGCATCAACAGCATCTGTATCACGGTCAGCGCAGATAAATAGCAGAAATTGAGTTGGAAATACCCAAAATCAGTAATTCAGACTAAGACTATTCCCAATTAGTAAGACCTTCCATAAGCTCGGGTGCTACGAAAATGTGAGGAACCACTATAATACCAAATCAATTAACTTCTATGCAAGGTACATGGATAAAAGATTTTTAGAGTTTAACCCTTTTCTTTCAAGTAATTAAGCAAGAGAAGCGTAATTCATCGATTAATATCGTTTCGAAGATATACCTCGCACAATAGGCGAAGCTAGAAATTCATACACTTGAGCCTGCTCAGATTTCTCGTAGAACACCTTATCAAAGCTAAATGTGAATTCTTCATCCTTCTCATCCTAGCCGTACAATAATTCAAATCTTTTCAAACTTTGTTTCTCAAACAGTTTTGCACGAAAAGATAGTAGCAGAGTTACAGGAATCCATGGATTCATGAGAAAAAACCTTGAAACTGAAAGTTTCGGAGTCTACGTGTTGAATGCAGACTGCATCGCCGTGATCTCTTCTCTCTTTGGAGCTCAAAGGCCGGAATCGAGCACATATTGTCATACTCGCCATTATCTTGCCGCGTTCAGAAGCTAATTCGAAGCTGCAAAAAATAAAAACACAGAAAGAGCGTCAGTTAGGAAGGAAAACTCGTACGATCTGTTTGGTTGCCTTGAAAATAAAAGAAAATCGGATTTCTTATACGAGATTATTGCTATTGTTGCTCAAAATGGGGAGAAATCTTAGAATTTGAAGTGAACGATCGTGGTCGAGTCAGATTCGAAAAGTAAAAATTTGATCGAAATTCAAATGATGTAGGTTCATTTTCTCAGCAGCCAAACAGCTAAAAGAGTGAACAAATCTCAATCGTTCCTGAATCGCGAGCTTTAAAATCTGTTTGGCTACTGAGAAACGATAGAGAAATTGTAAATCGAAGGAACTTTCCTACATTTTCCAGGCAACCAAACAATCAACAGAGATCGTGAGACGGAGAAAGTACTTTGGATTTTAGGCGCGAAAATGTGAAGTTCGAGAGCGACACTACGGACTACGGAATGGAGCTGTACCAGTTTTTTACAAGCGCGCACGCACACCTACCATGAACCCGGATCCTCTCTGGATCCAAAAAATTTGAGTTTAAGAATAAAATAATTTAGGTTATTGAAATTTGACTTAACGATTTCAATTATTATAATTTTTAAGAGGATATAGCCGTTGGATCAAATTTCAACGGTTCAGATCATTTGATTTTTAAACTCAAATTTTTTAGATCAAGAGGGAATCCGGGTCCACCAGCCATATAAATGACAGTACGACGTGTCGTTCTGTAATTTTGTGGGATTAGGGGCAGACGTTGAACGGATAAAGCATTGAACCGTGCTGATCCGATCCGAACCAGAAAAAAATTCAAAAAACAATTTTGGTTTGACCGGTTCAGTTCTTGGCTTCACCCTCTTTCACAAATCCTCATGCTGCCATGCATTTGGCTAAACACGTGTCGACGTACCAACTTTAGCGGGGCCAAATCGAATACAACCGATCAGACCGAATCAAACAAGATCGAACCAAACCTACTACCTTTAGTGGGACCAAACGCATTTTATATTATCATCAAAACGATGTCGTCGCTCTCTTTTTAGCTTGTATGGTAAAACCTTTGCTTATATGGCTTATATGGCGGGTGGTAGTTTCTGCGGTCCAACGGATAGAGGTGCAACTTAGGTTAGGTTAATCCGAACATGTTCATGTCTAAACCTACTTAAACCCGAACAATTGAGTTTTTTTTTAACTATAACTTGCCTGAACTCAACCTAATTTCAACCCGTTCATTGATTGGGTTGAGTTGGGTTCATCATTTACCTGTCCATCCCCAACCCATCTCAACCCGACTAACCAAACTCAATCTAACTAGATTGTAACTCATATCAATTAATACTCATACTACATCCAAGTGAGCCAAATTCAAAAACCAACGTCCTTTCTAATATTTTTTTTTAATAAATTACCCTTTATAATTACTTAAGTGTTTAGGGAATAAGAGACTATGATTAATCATCCCATATTCGTAGTCACTAAATCCTAAAGCTTTATAGTAGATTGATTTATGAAATTAAAGTTAGCTAGCTTTGATGCTACTTGGCTTAATTTTTTTTAGGAATTCTTGGAAACTAAGTTGTTACAAGATTAAACTTTAAAAAGTTGGGCAATCCGAACCCAACTCAGGTGAACCCTAACCCAATTAAACTCGAACCCAAATGAAATCCAACCTGAACCAAGAGCTCGAATTGTAAAAGTTGGGGTAGGATTGGGCTGATCTTCCAACCTGCCTAAGTTGCACCCCTACCAACGACATTTTTTTTTTTTTTTGAGTACATCAATATTTTTACACTAAGGATAAGGGGAGTTCGGCTAAGCCACACAATGGGCAGCCTAATTTGGTATCGAATTTGTCATCCATGAGATTTGAACCTAAGACTCAATCAGTCAACTTATCCCTAATCTAGCCATTCTTATTTGGTCAATCTCCCCATTTGACATCCACTTTATTTGTTGATTATCTCCCGTGATTTGTTTGACTTAAACAAGGTTAATTAAAGAATTTTTTTTTAAACTTATTTTCCACCAAATATTGACGTGTGTCATGACTCGTTTTATGAGTCATATGTCATGTGTACAATTTGTGACACTTACGGTGCGCGACGCGTAATCTTTGACATGTCAAAACTTTAATTTGTTAGTGATATGTCATCAAAACTTCCGAAAAATACTTTTATGGTCAAAATTATTTTTCACTTTTTCAGTTCAACAAAATTAAAAGCGTTTTTAATTGTTAAAAAGCGATTTAAAATTTTTAAATCTTACAACTTAAACTATACAATGAGATCTAAAAAGAAGGGGTCTCAGGAGAGGGAGAATTTCACATCCCGACCCGGGGCGGATCACTTCCCGGGCCCGCTCCATCACCGTAGCACGATATTGTCCGCTTTGGGCTTACCATTCCCTCACGGTTTTGTTTTTGGGAACTCACGAGCAACTTCCCAGTGGGTCACCCATCATGGGATTGCTCTAGCCCCCTTCTCGCTTAACTTCGGAGTTCCCACGGAACCCGAAGCCAGTGAGCTCCCAAAAGGCCTCGTGCTAGGTAGGGATGAGAATATACATTTAAGGATCACTCCCCTGGGCGATGTGGGATGTCACAATCCACCCCCCTTAGGGGCCCGACGTCCTCGTCGGTACACACGCGGCCAGGGTTAGGCTCTAATACCAAATTTTCACATCCCGACCCGGGGCGGATCACTTCCTGGGCCCGCTCCATCACTGTAGCACGATATTGTCCGCTTTGGGCTTACCATTCCCTCACGGTTTTGTTTTTGGGAACTCACGAGCAACTTCCCAGTGAGTCACCCATCATGAGATTGCTCTAGCCCCCTTCTCGCTTAACTTCGGAGTTTCCACGGAACCCGAAGCCAGTGAGCTCCCAAAAGGCCTCGTGCTAGGTAGGGATGAGAATATACATTTAAGGATCACTCCCCTGGGCGATGTGGGATGTCACAGAGAAAGAGAAGAGAGGAGGAAAGAAAGTAAGAGCTGATTGAAGGAAAAAGAAAGAAGAGATTGGATTAAACGACATAGAGAGCAAGAGGAGTGAAAGAAAAAATCGATAATGAAGAAAGTGGACTGGATGAGAGACGAAAAAGGTAAATAAAAAAAAAGTAGGAGAGAGAAAGAATAAAAGAGAGGGAGATAGATGGAGTGAGAGAGGAGGAGGGAGAGAAAAGAAATGAGTAAATTTAAGTTTAAAAACTCAATTTTTATGTTTTTAGACAATAGACTATATTTTTGAGTTAATCTTGAGTTTAGTTTTTGAAAATGGTCTTACCAAACAAGTTTTTAAGGCCTAAAACTTGAAAATTGTTTTTAAGTTTAAAAAATTGAATTCAAGTTAAATAGCAAACAGGTTCTAAATTCTGCTTGCCGATATCACTTATGAAATTATCATTATTTAATTGCTGCAGCAGCCCGCCGAGTCATATCCTTAATTAGTGGGTTAATTGAAAACTAAACAACATTAAACATTACTGGTATAATTGCTTTTTAGTGGAAAGGTTTAAAGGAGTAAAGCTCGTTTTACAAGTTGGACAAATTTTGCAAGAACGTACCCTCTTTTTTTGGAATTTGAATTCCCTACAGACCTTAGTGCCCCGAGCTTAAACATCAAAAATTCGAACTTTGGTTTATATGAAAGAGAATTAGAGCCTTTAATTTGTGTGAGATTGATCTGCAAAATAAGTTAATGAGAATTATCAGATTCAAATTGAATGCTTCAAATTACTTGATCATTGAACTACAAACAGTAAAATCAGGAATAATCAACACCCACAAGCTTTCGTGTGGAATGCACCCTCCACTCAATTGTTTAATGATATTTCCTACCAAAATCTCCAAAAGATGGATTTTGCTTTCGGTCAATCTGTATTGTTTAATTGGTAATTTGCTGGTGGCATTTGTGTGGAATGCGCACTTCAAATAATTAACACTTATTAGGTATTTGAACAATTGTAGCACTTCCCCACTACGTACACCATGTGGATTTGAATAAGAAGTTGCACACACACAAACGCCACCACGGTTAACAAGGAAAAAAAATTTTAGTGTGCCGGAAACAGCTCAGTACAACAAATGTAATAATATAATCGGTTAAATTGTTTTTTCTTTAAGTTTTTAACCAATTGTATTGTTACACTGAGTATACCAAACCATGTTCCCAACATACTGAAAATCTCTAGTTAAGAAGGTCTTAGATTGCCTAAATAGAAATGCATGCATGCACTCAAGATAGAAGTAATGAGCCCAAAACCTATAAAAACGACATATTTAATAAAAAAAAAAAAACTTAGGCTATTTACACATAAGAGATTATTCATTCTCTTAGACAAATTAAAACTTAACATATGTGTTGAAGCAGGTCTCACATCGAAAACCTCATGAAGTTTAATCACTCTTTTATACTAAATGGTTTTATTACTAATTGTGTTGAGATTTTTTTAAGGTAAAACTCCACATTAATCATATCGCAATTTAATTAATTAAGTTCAGTACTGTATCGATATTGATTAGTGGTGCATCAGTATACTTTGACACACCTTTTCATTTTATGTCACTGAAGACTGTCATTTGCGGTGGGTAATGACATTTTATGTCTCTGAAGACTGTCATTTGCAGTGGGTAATGACTCTATACAAACCCTATTTTGATCAACCATTAATCTTGATTAAGTAACTCTTATGGAGAGTGCCTTCCACATGTAGTGTCTCCCTCCTTATCACCACTAAGCTCCAATGGTTCATCAACATGTGCATTAACCACAATAGATAAAAATCGTAAAACCCTACCTCTCTATAAATACCCTAATGAGGGCGTGTGTCCTCCACAAGCAATCAATATCCTAATCTCTCTTCTTTACTTTTCATACCAAATCCTACACTTCGAAACTTCATACATGGCTTCCCAACGTGACCAAACTTCAACTAACCACATAGAAATTCCAGTTTATGGAAATGTGACTGATCAACCAAGACAATCTCCAATCCCAGAAGGCGACGAAGATGACACCTTTGATTACTCCCAGAGGACACAGTGGCTTCGCGCCTCTGTGTTGGGAGCCAATGACGGGCTGGTTTCCGTTGCATCGCTCATGATGGGCGTGGGTGCTGTGAAACAAGATGTAAAGACCATGCTAATAGCCGGTTTTGCGGGGCTCGTGGCCGGGGCGTGTAGTATGGCAATAGGAGAGTTTGTCTCTGTGTACACTCAGTACGACATAGAGATATCTCAAATGAAGAGAGAGATGAAAGCAAATGGTAGGACAGAGAATGCAGAGGAGGCAAAGAAGAAGATGCTGCCGAATCCTGCGCAAGCCGCCTTGGCGTCAGCCGTTGCGTTTTCGATAGGCGCGGTGGTGCCTCTATTGGGAGCTGCATTTATAAGTGAGCATAAGGTGAGGCTGGCCGTAGTGGCGGCTTTGGTGAGCGTTGCGCTGGTTGTGTTTGGAGGGGTAGGAGCGTGGCTGGGGGGGTCATCGGTGGTGAAGTCTTGTGCAAGAGTACTTGTTGGAGGATGGATGGCTATGACTATAACTTTTGCACTCACCAAGTTAATTGGGTCTAGTGGTATGCAGATGTGATAAATTACATGTTTGTTGTTGTCATTGTGTTTAATTTCTGTTCTCGTTGACGTTGCTGCTATTGCTAGTGGTGGTTTTGCAGCTGTTGACAACACCATTTGCATAGAGGCGCAGACATGTAAAATCATGTGTAATTAAGTTGTGTTTATCAAATAATGTTGCTATGCAACTATTTATTGGTTGTGGTTAAATACTTATTTGTGATTGTTTCTAGAATGGTAAACAGTTTTCGGCAACGATAAGTGCTTCTGATTACTTTGACGAGAAATGTTAAAAGTTCTTCGAGGTAATCGACGAAAAGATTTTTTGGAAAACTACATACCACTTCGAAGGTTATAAAATCTTCAACATGATTTTAAAAATAAAAAAAGTCTAATAAAAGCTCTTATGAGCAACAAACTTGCACTAACATATAGTACCCATCAAGCCCTATATGAGGTAGAGGCTTGCATGCTCTCACTAATTTAGCGTCACTCTTGTAGGAGAGAAACTTGCATATAATTATCGTTTATAATACTCATCAAGTGATACCAACCCCTCTTCTCCACATCACATGACCAGATCACGTGATTTTGTACAGTTACAAGAGAGTATACACTTGGGGCTAAGTAAGTTTTTTCCTTGCTAGCAAACAGTTAGTTGTTGACTCATGAATGTTCAGTTGCAGAAACCCTAGCCATCTCATGATCCTGGACGCAATGAACACCGAAGATTTTAAATGTTTTTCAAAAGTTCCGTTTGCTGGACATACAGGTGGCGTACGTACGTGCAATATTTGCACTTTCGAAACCCCTCATGCACTTTTCAGATGCTATTAGTATTACAGAAGACTATGGGAATGCAAAAGCAGTGAAACATAACACTTCTCAATATAATATGTATATTGATCGGTTGGTGGATAAGCATTACGCATGCTAGTAGTAACAAATAACTTTTTATCTAGTCCATTGAATTTTGTTTTGACAAATTCATGATAGTACTCTTATTGATTAGTTTATAGACAAGCATTATGCATCCTGCTAGGTGCAAACAATTTTCTTTATGTCTCCTGTCCACTAGATTCTGTTTTGACAAACTCATGATGTACTCATATTGATCGGTTGACGGATAAACATTAAGAATATTGTTGGCCTTAAACAACTTTCTATTTATGTTTTCAATCCACTGAATCATGTTTTGACAAACTCGTGATAGTATAATTGATTGATAGATTTTTACTTTTTTGTTTTAAAAAAAAAAGAAAGATTGATAGATAATAAGCATTATGCATGCGCGGCCAACAGCTGAGCGGCAAAATCCCGGAAATATGTATTTTCCGGTCGCTAATAAAACTCGTCATGCGGAAATATTAAAGTTGAAACCTATCCTCGTATAAGCATTCAACCTAAATAAATTGATGTTACATGTGGCATGTCAATTATATAATAATCCAATGGCTCAAATTTATGTTGCATGTGGCATATAAGATGATAAGATGCAAAAGAAGATGTCAAGTTTGTTAACCCACTGATATTGATTCTATGATGTGGTCCTGACATCGTTTTCGCCTGCCCATTCCGAGGGGGAATTGTGGGACAAGATTGGGACATGTTCTAAGACCAAACCCCACAAGGAGGGAGAGGGAGAAGCAACTTGAGGAATGGATGCTGAGATGGGGCAGCTGGAGGTGGAAGAAGTGGAGGCTGCTGGGTTATCGGTGAGAAGTTTGTAGGGTTTAGGGTGGAGGCATTGGTTGTGACTAAATTGTCCTTGGTTGTGAATAAGGTTCCATTTGCTGTTGGGGTTCCAGAGAGGGTGCAGAATGATTGGAGGATTTCCTTAGCATAGTTCCTTGATTTAACCAAACATTTGAAATGGAAACAACACAACCGATACATTCAAGAATAATTAAGGAATTGAATTCAGTTACTATTCCCATTTGAAATGGATAAGCACTACTTATGCTGTTTGGCGCAAACAACTTTCTATTTATGTCTCTAGTCCACTGAATCTTGTGTTGACAAACTCATGATAATACTCATATTGATCGGTTGATGGATAAGCACTACGTATGCTGCTTGGTGCAAACAACTTTTTATTTATGTCTCAAGTCCACAGAATTCTGTTGTGACAAAATCATGATAGTAATCATATTGATCGGTTGGTGGATAAGCATTAAGCATATAGCAATGCGCAAAAAACTTTCTAGCTATGTCTCCGGTCCACTTAATCCTGTTTTGACAAACTCAGGATAGTACTCCTATTGACTAATTGATGGATAAGCATTACGCATGCTGCTTGGCGCAAACAACTTCTATTTATGCCTCTAGCCCACGGAATTTTATTTTGACAAAACCATGATAGTACTCCTATTGATCGGTTGATATATAAGTATTACGCATGCGCGGCCAGCAGCGGAGCGGCAAAATCCTGCAAATATGTATATTATAGGAGCTAATAGAACTCCGCATGCTTTCATGGAAAGAAAGTTGAAACCTATCTACATATAAGCATTCAACCGAAACCAGTTGGTGCTGCATGTTGCTTATCAACTATATACTAATCCAATTGTTCAAGTCAATGTTGCATGTGGATAAGATGCAAAAGAGAGTGAAAGTTTCCTAACCCACTGAGACTGGATTCTATAACGTGGTTCTGACATCGTTTTTCACCTGCGCATTCCGAGGGGTGTAGGACAAGATTGGGGCATGTTCTAAGACCAAAGCCTACAAGGAGTGAGAGGAAGAAGCACCTCTGTTTGGTGGGTTGGTTGTGAAAGATTATGACTAATTAAATTTGAATTAAGTTCAGTTTTTTATTTGTTGTGTAAAAATATGAGATAGATATGACTGACATGATAGGTTATGAATCCACAATAAAACGAATTATCTAATTTGTTCTTATGCATGAGTTACAAGTCATATTTTACATATTCCTATCAATCCAACCATATCTCTAAACCTCAATCCCATTCAACCTACCAAACGGGCCGATAGAGAATGGATGCTTAGATGAGGCAGCTAGAGTTACTGATGAGAAGTTTGTGGGGTTTAGGGTGGAGGCAATGGATGTGACAAAATTGGATGTGACTTGATTGTCCTTGATGAGGGGACGGATGGAATCAGATTCTGTTGGAGGTTATGAAGAAATGGAATCAGGGGAAAATACTTTTTTCGGTTTTAGTGGTGAAGGGCTAGAGACTAGGATTTTAAATGTTATTCCACGCTGCCCAAGCCTTGTACTGGGGCTACTTTGGCCTCGCAAGGTGCCTATGCATCAATTTGACTAGGCAAATTTTGTCGGACTAGAATTTTGTTTCAATTTTGGAGCAAGATTATTAATTTGCCTAAGCCTTAGGGCCCCGTTAGATATGCTCTTATCATTCACCTACATCACTAACTACGAGTTGTGATTAGGGTCATTCTACTAGATGAGAGAAACTTGCATACACCAGATTGTAATACACTTGTTCATACAGCACGCCAACACCGCAATGTGTGCTAAAGGAACAATGAGGCATACAACTCACCAACGAGACCTCGAGACATGTAAGTCTTTCTCTTGCTAGAGAACGAGTAGTCATATTCCACTATTTTCAAAACAGGACTCTTAACAAAATCCTAAAGCACCATCTCATTCTCAATCAATTATGGACTGCCTACATACAAGACTCGAACACGAGAGTAAAGAAAATCGATATAAAGTCCGCCGAAAAAATTTAGGGTTTTTAAAAGCTTTACTTTCAGAATCACCTTTTTGTTCTTTGTATGGGGATGGAAGCTTGTTAAAGACGAGGTGTGTCCAATCCATTGACTTATGTTCATGTCTCTAATCCACTAACTTGTTTTGACAAAATCATGATAATACTCATATTGATCGGTTAGTGGATAAGCATTATGCATACTGCAATGCGCAAAAAACTTTCTATGTCTTTGGTCCACCGAATCCTATTTTGACAAACTCATGATAGTACTCCTATTGACCGATTGATGGATAAGCATTACGCATACTGCTTGGCGCAAATAACTTTCTATTTATGCCTCCAGCCCACTAAATTCAGTTTTGACAAAATCATGATAGTACTCCTACTGATCAGTTGATGCATAAGTATTACGAAAGTGCGGCCAGCAGCTCAGCGGCAAAATCCTGCAAATATGTATATTATAGTAGCTAATAGGACTATGCATGCTTTCATGGAAAGAAAGTTGAAACCTATCCACATATAGGCATTCAACCGAAACCAGTTGGCGTTACATGTTGCTTACCAATTATATACTAATCCAATGGTTCAAATCAATGTTGCATGTGGCAGATAAGATGCAAAAGAGAGTGAAAGTTTCCTGACCCACTGAGACTGGATTCTATAACGTGGTTGGGTGTGGGTCAAGATTGGGGCATGTTCTAAGACCAAACCCTACAAGGAGTGAGAGGAAGAAGCACCTTTGTTTGGTGGGCAGGTTGAGATAAATTGTGATCAATTAAAATTGATTTGAGTCCAGTTTTTTGTTTGTTATGTAAAAATGTAAGTTGGACATGACTGGCATGATGTGTTATGAATTTACAATGAAACGCGTTATTTAATCTATTCTCATACATGAGTTACGAGTCATGTCTTACAAATCCCTATCAATTCAAACATATCCCTAAGACTCAATCACATTCAGCCTACCAAACGAGACAATAGGGAATGGATGCCGAGACGAGGCTGCTAGAGGTGGAAGAAGTGGAGGCTGCTAGAGTTACTGGTGAGAAGTTTGTGAGGTTTAGGGTGGAGGTAATGGATGTGACTAAATTGGATGTGACTTGATTGTCCTTGATGAGGGGCTTCATAAATAAGTCTCTGTATTGGTGCTTGCCAGGGCCTATTGACGCACGGAATCAGATTCTGTTGGGAGGTTACGAAGAAATGGAATCAGGGGAAAATACTTTTTCGGTTTTGGTGGTGAAGGGCTGTCCGAGCCCTGTACAAGGGCTAATTTGACATCGCAAGGTGCCCATGCATCAATTTGACCAGGCATAATTTGTCGGACTATAATTTTTTTTCAATTTTGAAGCGAGATTATTAATTTGCCGGCCTTCGGCGGCCGCTAGATATGCTCTTATCATTCACCTACATGACATCTATGGTTTGTGAATACAGTCATTCTACCACGAGAAAAACTTGCATAAACTTGTTCTTACATCCGTGATGCATGCTAAAGGAACAATGGGGCATACACCTTGCCAACAAGACCTCGAAACATGCAAGTCTTTCTCCTGCTAGAGCACGAGTAGTCATATTCCACTATTTCGAAACATGACACTAACAAAATCCTGAAGCACCATCTCATTCTCAATCAATTATGGACCGCATACATACAAGACTCAAACACAAAAGTAAAGAAAATCGATATAAAGTCCGCCGAAAAAATTTAGGGTTTCTAAAGCTCTACTTTCAGAATCTTACCTTTTTGTTCTTTGTATGGGGATGGAAGCCTGTTAAAGACGAGGTGCGTGCTACTTGTACTTCATGGACGTATAACAGCCATAAGCTTCATTAAAAGTAATAATCATAATTATGCAGACAGCATTCCATGGCAGAAATAGAACAATAATGGGTTCCAAGTTAACCAGAAAAGAAACAGAGCAGCCTTGAACAGGAAATCATATAACCAAAAACTAGATTCTCCAAAAATAAAACCTACTTCAAAGCTACAACTGAACTAAAGAAAGAAGCATATGAACCTTGTCGCGGCAAACAAACCATGGGCAGGAACAGAAAAACAAGGCAATTCCAACCAAGTGCAATGTGATACGGAGACCCGGAGAACAAAACAACCGAGCAGTTATTCAACTCATCAAGAATCGAACTCTCCCAATCATGTATCGAAAAAGAGCAGATCCTGCCACAAGGAACTCTCACACCAGTGTGCTCTGTATAAGATGTGGGACTTTTACGTTCAGTTAAATTGCAGATGGCTTGTTCTGGCCGAAAAGACTTTCAAAAAATTTAGGTAAAAACTATCATGTCCAATTAGTAACACAGAAACCCATATCATGGATCGAAAAGACCAGATCCTGCCAAAAGGTTAAAAACATTAATATAGCAGGAATAGCAAAGTAAGAGATATCATGCGTCAAAGTAACTTACAAGAGAAAATTTACCCGGTTCACTCCCATTTACTAGTAAAGATACCGAAAACAGGGCAGCCAAAAGGACATTCTACTTATAGGACCACTTCTACTTCCAAGTAACAAGAAGCAAACTCCCAATAGAGGACCCCTCACAAACTATCCCCGGACATACCAAACATCAAATGACCTTCCAATATCGCAATTGCCAATGCAAAACAGTCAACAGGAACCAAACGACCTTCCAATAATTCAAGTGCCCAAGCAAAACAGTCAACAGGAACAGAGCAATCATAGCATTTGCAGTCACCGATGCATGAAAGTCACAGACAACCACCAGTCGTAATGGAATTCATAGAGTATAAGGCCAAATTGAAATATCATTTGCAAGCAAGCATAAAATTCCACCGGATCAAACATTCGGTTGAGCATTTAGCAACAAAAAACAGGTGAAAAACTTCAAAGATCCGCACTTCAAAATACTGGTCCAACTAAAATAATCCACCCAGAAAATCATCAGAGAACACATCCAGCAAGGGAAACTTCAAAGCATTGCAGACAGTGACAGTCAGCCGAGCAGCTCCTCGGGTTCCTAAGCTGCACTTAGCACATCAACAAAATTACCTTCAGTACAATACTAACTGTCAAAAGCATAAAAATCATTAAACAAAAGTGAGTTTTACGTACCACTATCAGAAGCAATTATTTTATCCAGAACGGAAGCCTCCTGTACTCCTACGTTCATATGGCCCAGAGCGGTCACGACTGTATCGATCACTTCCAGAACCTCCACGACTACCAGAATCCCTGCTGCGCCCACTAGATGGTCGGTCTCCATTTCGCTCAGGTCCATAACGACCACTACCACCACCACCGCCGCCGCCGCTACCATACCTATCATCCCTACCACCATACCTGCCACCCCCTCCTCTTGAACCTTCACTTGGACACTCCCTGGCAAAATGTCCTGGCTTGCCACACTTAAAGCAGTCTCCTCCACCTCCACGTCCACCTCCACCACCAAAGTCGCGACCACGATCACGATCACGACCGCGGTCACGACCCCGGTCACTGTCAAAATCTCTACCTCCACCACCTTGGTGAGGCTGAGCTTTATCAACAGTGATAGTTCGTCCATCCAAATCCAATCCATTCATTTCCTCAATGGCCTCTTCCATTGCTTTTTTATCATCAAAAGTGACAAACCCAAATCCACGCGAGCGTCCAGAAAACTTATCAACCACCACCTATTTGAGGAAAATAATTGCCACCGCAAAGTTCCATAGAAGAGTATTATGAATGTCAAGCAATATCATATTGGATAAAGCATGAACAATTAGCACCTAATTTTTCAATCAAACCAAATCAAAATCATATTTTCCCTATTTATAGGACATCAAAACCAGATGCATTGATCAACAGAAAGAAGATAGTTACAAAAAAATGCTTGATTGAAATCAAATATATCCTATCTAAACTGTATCCCCAAACATTAAAGGGAAACAATAACAAAGGATTACCTTAGCTTCAACGAGCTTTCCAAACTTTTCAAATGCTTCTCTTAGACTTCTATCAGATGTTGACCATGCAAGGCCACCGATGAAACATCGATACTCCAGCTCTTCTGACATCTTCTAAACTGAAATTTTGCAACAAAAGGCATCAATCATGGAAGCAAAACAAATGGAATCAAGATAACCCATTCAACAAACTAACATGATTTTCCACCAATATTGCATAATCCAGAGAATATTAAAAAAATCCCCATCGAAGCAGAATAAAATCCCCGACTCCAACACACGATACAACAAAGTACAAGCTTTCATGCCTGAATTTGCCACAACCAATACAAAATCTGCTCAGTGAGAAAAACCTTTCATATCCCATAAACCTATCAGATTCAAGATGTTCTTATTCATATAGATAGACAGAGTCTGAATTAATTAAAAAACCCAATTAGGGTTTTGGTCATATGTATCCTACAACTCCTTGCGAGCACACAAACACAAGCATGTAACTTCAAATTATCCAAATCCCATAATTTATTAAATAATCGAGACGTAATAAACAAATTAACCACACAAAACAGCAAAAAATTGGGAAAATTAAACTCATAGAAATTCAGCGAATCTGCCCCAAATCTGTAATTGAATGCAAGAATACCAAAATAGGAACTAACAATAAGCGTGGAAGAAGTTGAATTTACATACCAGCGAAGAGAGGCTAGGGTTTTAGTCTTTAGATCTCAAACGCGCAGAGAGAGAGAGAGAGAGAGAGAGAGAGAGAGAGAGGGTTTTGGCTTTCGGCTTTGAACACAAAACCTAAATAAACTGAGAGCGAGCTTGTGGGTGTATGGATGGGAACCGATTCAAGTCAACGGGTTGTAGGGTTTTCTTTTGGATTCCGGACTTTGATTGGGCCACGTGGCCACTACCATGAGATATTTATTCCCTTACAAAGCACATTATTTTCTCTTATTCATAAACATGATAAAACTTGCTTTTTCTTTAAATTTTTTTTCTGTTTTAACAAATGGTAAAGTAGGTATTTAGTTATTATGGTTTAGTGGTATTCTTCTTTATTTAAAAGTGAAAGATCTTAGGTTCGATTCTCGCCAAATGTGAGTTTGAACGATCTTATGACTAGCACATTGTGAGGCATAGCCCATTCCTTCCCTTTAGTGTAGATAATATCGTTTGTTAAAAAAAAATAGTAAAGTAATCTATACTAAACTTATATAAACTATAGGATCCCAACGCAACATCTCATGTACATGGACGAATATTTTTATCCAATTAAATTACAAACCACTTGCTCTTTAATTAAATTTTGAAATGTAATTAGTGATCCTTCAAGAAAATAAAATCTTAATTGTTAAAATGATTAGAATTAAAAATCAAGGACATAGAAACCATTTATGGACAACATTAATAATTAAATTATTGACAACATAAAGAAAACTGATTGTTCGAGCAATAAAATAATTTCTTTGGTCAATATTATTTTTATTTTATATTAATTCAAAATTATTATTCAAGAGATTTGAACTTAAATTTCTTAATTTATAAATAAAAAAAAATTATAATTTTCACTTTTGAGAAAAAAATCCCTTGATACGCCGGCCACATGCTGAGTGACTTGTACGCTAAAGTACAAGGTCTAGATCCCGCAAAAGGGTTTAGGGTTTTTCCCCTCTTTTGCTTCTGCGAGTCGCCATCAAAAATCGAAACGCAGAGAAGAAGAAGAAGATGTGGTATCTGTGCATGTTCTACCACCGACTGTTAGACTACCGGAAAGCCGAGGTGGAATCTTTAGCCCAACTCTTCGCCAACGACGAAGAAGATCAGTACAAAACGCAGCGTTTGAAATGGCGGCTGCCGCTCCACCACCATCCGGATTCCCCTTTCCATTTCGTCGACCTCCCTTCCGAAGACGTCGCCAGGAACGTGGCCAATCGAAGTAAGCATTGCTTTCCTTCACTTCCCAGTTCTCTTTTCTGCATAATTTGCTCGAATCGAAAGCGATTTTGAAGAAATGTTGAAACTTTATTAATTTGATTGAGTGGAAATTAGGATTAGATTTGTCAGTTTTCGAGAATGATCGTTGCTGTAAACTTGTCTTGTTAATCTGCTCGAATCGAAAGCAGTGCTGAAGAAATTTTGAAACTTTATTGATCTTGTGGTAAAAATTAGCCTTGGATTACTCAGTTTTTTGAGAAAACCGTGGTATTAAACTTATGTTTTTCGATTTGATGTAATCTCCTCAAATAGAAAGCAATGCTGAAGAAACTTTAAAGCTTTATTGATCTTGTTGACTAGAAATTACTATTAGTATTGGAGTTGTTGGTTTTCAAGAAAGATCGTTGTGGTAAAGTTGTGTTTTTTCATTTGTTATGTGGTAGGCATACTTGTGAAGGGAATGTATGAGCTTTGGGGAGAAGGGGGTAGCTATGAGGAGCTGGAAGAGGCTATTAGAAGTTATCCAGATGAGCGGAAGTTGCCGTACCTAGAGCCTGATAGTACTTTCAAGATTAATGTTGACACATTTGGTAAGGTCATCAGCCTCCAGGAGCAAACGCAACGGATTCATGGACTTAGCTACATCCCTTTCAAGGTGAATTTGTTACTGTAACTTATGCATTTGGGTTTTCGATTTAGGATTGATTTTGCATTACTCGATTGAGATGGAAGTTTTGCAAGATATGCACTTGAAGTATCCGCATTTTAGCTCCCGTGATTTCGAATTATCCTTCATTGTAAGTAATGGTGATGTTTGCTACTGATCAATATGTTGCAGGGTCGAGTTAATTTGAAAAGTCCAGAGCACAAGTTCTGGCTTATGGAAACTGATGATTATGGAGTTAACAATGGTCTTCCGCCAATTGTCCAAAGGAGAATCTTTTTCGGTCGCGAAATTGGTGGTGCTGATAGAAAGCTTCTGCCAACATACCAGTTGAAAAGCCGTACTTATCTTGGCCCAACAGCCATGGATGCAGAAATTGCTTTCTTGATGGCCAACCAAGCATTGGTCACACCAGGGAAGCTTGTATATGACCCTTTTGTTGGCACCGGGAGCATTCTTATAGCTGCTGCTCATTTTGGAGCCATGACAATGGTTTACACTTCTTTCTCTTTTGTCTGAGTTTTAGTTTTGTCACAATTGGTACTTAAATTTATGTCTGGCATGCAGTTAACTATCTCTCTAAATGGACTAGATTAATTTTTTCAGGGTGCAGATATTGATATCAGGGTGGTACGAGATGGCCGTGGCCCTGATTGTAATGTCTGGAGTAATTTCAAGCAGGTAAATATGCTCTTTGAGATTGAGTTTTGGTTCGAAAGCTGTTGTTTATGGTATCACCAAGCACATGATTTGCTTATGATGATGAATATGCCAAGACTTCTCTTTGTGCAAAGTTTGTGATATGGAAACCTATTAGTGATTTCTACTTACTATATTAGATCATTCGTGTTCTGTGCCACAAACTTTGAAATTTCTTTTTCTTGAAAAAGAGTGCTAGTGATTGTACAATCATTAAGTTCATACCTTTTTGCAGTACGGTTTACCAATGCCAATTGCTTTGTTAAGGGCAGATAACAACCTACCTCCTTGGCGTACTGGATTGAAAGAGGTACTCTCCCTCTCTCTCTTTACATAATATATTTATATGTATCTTTGTCTCTTTCTATACACACACATGTATGTATTTATAATATTTTGGTTCTCGTTGCAACGTAAATACTAGTTTTTTTAATTTTATTTTCTACTTACAACCTTAAAAGTCTTCTGTAAGTAGCATATGCTTTCTTTTTCTTCACAAGTGGTAGTTACTAATCTACCTGATTCTCGTTGTATTTTTTTACCGTGGCATAGTGTTGGGTGATATAGACCATCATGCCTTAAACCACCAGATTAAAGCAAACTATTCCACGTTTTGCTTCCGGAGCACTTGAGTAGCCTATTAGTTTTCCGATTGTAGTTTTTGAAATTAAAGGATTGAAAAGAACATGTAGTAGTTGAACACTCAGAGTCATAAAGCATGACAATGTTGTGGCTGTCCTTGTTGTTTATATCTTATCTGCTTCTTAATCTCATCGCTTTTCGTAGTCTTGGAGTTTCACCGCTTACTCTAATAAGAATCAAGTCCCATACCTCTCCCTTTATGAAGGGGCATAAGATCCACCCGCTAGAAGGCCTAGTTATCTTGATATCGTTGATATTCAACGAAAGATTGCCTATCTTTCAACCACTTGTTACATAAACAGTGTATCGTAATTTGTTTTTGCATTTTAGGTCATTTTGTTTTCTCTGTTGAAAAATGTAAATTGCCTATTTTGCTTTGATAATTTTGTGTTTGGTCATTTTCACTTGTGTAGATCTTTGATGCCATAATTTGTGACCCTCCATATGGTGTTCGTGCTGGGGGACGCAAATCTGGTGGCCGGAAGTTGATGAAAGGGGTTGTCGGCCCTTACACCGTTCCTGATGACAAGAGGACAGACCACATACCATCAACTGCGTCTTACAGCTTGGTCGAGTGTGTGCACGACTTGCTTGACCTAGCCGGCAGGATGCTTGTGATGGGTGGGAGGCTTGTGTTCTTCTACCCTGTAGTGAGAGAAGATGATAATGTCAATAACTCTTTCCCAGAGCACCCGTGTTTCCAACTGATTGCTACTTCAGAGCAGATACTTAGCTCGCGTTACAGTAGAGTACTACTGACCATGGTTAAGACAAGTCAATACACCGAAGAAATTGCAGAAGAAGCCAGATTAAAACACAAGGACTTCAAGGAGAACCATCTGAAGTGGTTGGAAGATGGAAACCTTCATTCCGCAGTTTTCAGTCCTTCTGATCTTCCATTGAATGGTGCTGCTGATGCAAAAACCAGTAAAGAACCAAAGCCAAAATACAGAGGCAAGTACGTGTAGGTTTTACATATAGGCTCTTTAGCTTGGCATTGACTATGATAGATTCGTAACGGTAGAAGTAGAATGATTTTTGGGTTGGTTATCCATCCCTGTATTCCTCATATGAGTTGAGTGAGTTATAGAGAGGTTAAAAGCGAATTTCGTTGTTGTAATTCTAATGAAAGACTAATGTGATGTACCTTTTCCTATCTTTCTATGTTATAAATCATGATATTATCAACTCTTCAACCTTATTAAGTTGAAGAAGTTCTTGATCGGTTCAATCCGTCATTTTATCTTCTAAATTTTATGTTATTTGTATGAATCGCTACGGCATTAAGTGGTTTGTAAAGGTGGTACAAAAATGTGGTCTCCCAGCGTTACTCTCGGTATCAAGACCTGAGTAGATGGGGAAGGGTAGGTATGAGCTTTTTCATCGGACTAATGTGAGTAATGGGATAAACCTTTGGATTAGGGATGCCATACTTCACATAATTTGCAAACAATTCTTTGTTCATTTTGTGTAAGAGTTGTGGGGCAAAAGCCCAACAAAAACAAAGAGAAGAACATAGCGAAGGCTGCCTATCCAAAATATGCAGCCCAACCGAAGATTATAGCTTATATCCATAGGATGTCATGCGAGAGAATTTTAACGAAAAACTTTCAGTACTGTTCATTTTAACGAAAAATCATATTTTTACACTAAAACATCAATCCTGGTACTATTCACTTTACCCTTTATTTTGTCCTTATCGTTAAAACTCAAAGTTTTCAAGCAATTTTCATTAGTTTTCCTAATATCAAACGGATGGCAGAGAGTGATTGACATGGGATACCACCGCACTTCTGTAGTAGTTAACAAGACTAAGCAAAGGTGGTTTTGCAAAATTGAACAAAAACGGATATGAGCATGGATGTTTCATGGAGGAAAATGCTTTGGAATCAATCTTATTCCCACTCATGTGAGAGACATATGTTGGTGTAGAACGTCAGTAAAATTATCAACCCAAACCACAAACTAATAACTTTTGAAAGACATTACATGAACCGCGCACCTTAGTAACAGAAACCCAACAATATTGCAAATTTGCAAGACAAGTCAATTACCAAGCTCAAACTCTTATTTTTTTCTTTCTCCATCACCCTCTTGCCCACTCTTTTCTTTCGCATGAAAACTACTAACACTAAACAACGCTAAAACTTCCACCTCGTGCTTAATTATAAAAACTAAAAAATGGCTCCTTTTCTTCATTTTTGCTTCCTGAGCTTGGTTAACAAAAACTTTTGTAGCACTCTTTTTTTAGGGGCATCAACTTTTAGCGAAAGATTATCTCTTGCAATTAAGACATAGTTTTAGTAGTGTCACCAGTTCATTAGACACTTATAAAAATGAATCATTTGTAATTAGCAACAAGAGCCCATGTATCCTTTTAGAGGTTTACTTCATTTCTCTCTACCCAAACAAACAATATGTAAGCAAATTGACCAAAACCAAAGACAATGGGTACGTTAATTTTCTTAGGGAAAACTATAAAATGTTATTGAATTACAAAGGGAGATATAGTACATGCAAATACAACAACCCACTTATAGGAGGGTTCCACAAATAACATAGCTCAGATCAAACAATTTCACTGATTTGCAGAGCAATGGGTTGGGTACGCATGCTCGACAAGGAATGACCATTTTTCCAAGTTCTCCACACTATTTTAAGTCAACAGTCTTTAACACACATGTTTTTTTAGCTTTTTACACACTTTAATCTAATTTGGATTGTTGGTTTTGTTTGATTTATTCGTTGAGAGTAATAAAAATGCATTTTTTTAGCTTACTTTTGTCTAATTCTGATAATTGATATCGTTTGATATATTTGCTTTAATGGTTAACAATGATGAAAAGATGTGTAAAAAGTTAAAAATGATGTGTAAAAATTACTTTGAGCATAGCAATTTGTAACCTTTTAGTTTTATGATTATCCTTTCTGTTAACTATTTTCTTTTTCTTTATTTCTCTTTCCAACATGATGTTTGCTTAAAGGTAATATAAACCCCACCAGCATATCAAACTTTAAAAATTACCTAGGGATTCGACAATGAACAAGGTACGGCTTCTGGCATCAAATTATCTTCAAAGCGCCAATGATTATTATCCTCTCAAAGCATTCGGGGAATTTTTTTTAACAGTGGTCTAGGACTCTAGAGAATTCGATACAATCTAAGGTTTTTTAATTGTTAAATCTTGAGTTAAAAACATAAAACACTTAAAGTAAGTTATATTTTGAAACACAATAGAATTTTGACTTTCGAAGATATATAAAATTATGTAAGATATCACTTAAAGATACAAAATTCTATGAAAATGTATGTCAAGCATCATTTCTTTTAACTATTGGATGTAACGTGTACATTGTTTAATTACAATGAAATAATGTATTGCGGAAAACTCTATATTCATTGCAGTAGTTGTAGTTTGATATATATATGCAGAGTTATATAGGAACAAAAATGCTGAGCTCTTCTAAACTTGTTCATGCATGGCACTGATAGCAGCGCTTGCGGCGAAGTTTGAGCTTTATCGACAAAAAAGTTTCGTCGAGAAAGCCATATTTTTTCCTTTTCTTTGGCGAGGCTGCCTTCTCTTGCTCTTTCACTACTTATTCTATAGGTGGTACCAACGTCTAGGTCCTCTCTATGAAATATTAGAGAGTGTGTTGCATGTGCTTTTAATATTTTTATAAGAGCTCTTTTTGTATTCTTCCAAATCCATCACATTTCGATGCTTGATGGTATGTAACATCATCATTGCAAGGTTATTTCACAACTTAAAATCCCCTAAATGGCTAAGATTAAAAAATTTAGTTGACTAAAACTCGTGGGACATATCTTCCACTTCCCCGATAACAAATTATATCCTCAACGAATTTTTTACCCAAAGTCATCTATAGTTATTCAAGTGGTGAAAATGCACATGAAGAAGTGCTCATGTGCACAACAGATGATGAATTTTTACGAATTTTCTAATGATGATTGACAGAAGTGGTAAAACACACTATAAAATTCAAGTCTAGATGGTAAATCACCAAGATTTTTAATTTGGATGGTATTTGCATGCACCCTAAATAGGTCAGGTGGTGCAAATTATCCATTATTTAAAAGAAAAACAAACAAAAGAGAAAAATATGAAATGAGAGAGAAGACTCACTCTCAGTCTATTTTATCTAAAGAAAAGAGTTTCTTAAACTGAAATTCAGAAGAAGAAAAAAAAAAAAAAAAAAAAAAGATTTGACGATCAGTTCAAATTCAGCATTGCCTCTTCCTGAATCCTAGCTAGCATCTCATGGACAGCTGTTGCAATCTCATCCACTGAAGTCAGCATGCACTCATCTTCTACCTGCTTAATTTTGGAAAATTCATCACAAAAATATATACAAATTCCTTATTCTTAATCTTCTAAATTTTCTTCACGAAATTAATTTTTGAATTGATTTTCCAATTACCTTGAGACTGAGAGAATAGAGGACAATATCATCAACAGTGACAACATTGAGATGGAGAATGGTAAGGTGCATATCATGCAACCCTGAAACAATTTTCAAGAGTTGCTTTGGGACCTTTTTGGATCTTACTTTGAGGCTTGCATGGCTCTCCACCATTGTCACTTCTATGTCAGCCGCAATTTTGCTCGACCTGCACTCGAGCAGCGGCAGCTCCGCCATGGCTGCCACCGCAGACTCATGATCACTAGTAGATGACCTCGATGAGTACTGGGGGAAGGTGAAGAATTCGGAAAAAGGCACACGATCATTTGCCTTTTGGACGCCCAGGAATTGCACTTCTTGCTCTAGCTCCTTCACATAATTAATCGCACCCCCAATGATTGATGCTTGGTCTCCCTAATAATACAACCGAAATGTAACATTTTTTGGTCGGTCCAATAATTAAGTGCGTGTGTAATAACATTTTGAGTTTCAGTTTTTAATTGAAAATAATTATCAAATACATTCTCAATTTTCAGATACAATGATATAAAATTGAAAAATAAAAACGAAATTGTTATCAAACGATTCTTAACTTTACCATACAAATAAGAATGACATTAACAAAGTAGTAGTGCGAAGGTATATGTAATTATGTACCCTTTGGACGTACGAGTCGGGCATTATCGATCGAAGCACAGAGAGATACTCATTCATCTGTTTTCTCCTGTTGCGCTCAACTGCGATGTGAGTCATTCTCTGGTTCTCAATCTCCTCCTCGTTCTTTTTACTCTTGGCACGACGTCGTTTCACACGAGAACTTCTAGACATGTTGATTGTGTCCTCCAATGGTAGTTGAAATTCGGGTTGATCACCAGTAGGGTTTGTAGTGCTGGCAACTGGGTTTGGATTGGAGAGGTGCAATTCGTTGAAGTGAGGTACCATTGAAGGCGGTGAGGAATACGTAGAACCATAGTTAGGGTAATTCTGGTCTGTTTGGTAGTCGAGAAAATCAAGAGAGGCTTGCTGTTGATCATCAACATAGCTCAAATTTCCTCCTAACAAGTTGTAGAGGTCTTTGTTAGTAGTGTAACTAAATGGGTCTTGAGGGAAAACGACGGCTTCCAGAGCCATTTTCTCTGTGCCAGCTCTCTCGTGTTTCTTGGTAGTTGGTACTTCGGCTTTTAAATGCAATTCATGAGTTATTTAAGGTTGCGGAAACTGAGCCTTTAAAGGGTTTCATGATGAACCAAATCCACAAGAAATTTCTGTGTGTGGGGAAATATAGTTGTATTATGTTATTATTTCACGTGTTATATAATAATGATGGATAATAGAATTGATCTATCTTACTTCTAAAATATATTGATAAAAAATACAAATGCACGCATTATAATTTAACTGAAATAATAACATCATCAAACTACGTTTGTCAGTACATCAAAAAATCTCTCCAAATCCACAGCAGACCACACGTGATATAAAGTTGAACTAATTATTGCAAGAGAGGGAATTTAACTTTGCATGCTAGCTGCACATCAAGTGATCTCGGTTGGAAGATTATTTTATCCATATGTATATGCATTTAACAAAGATACATACAATTCAGACATATATACACATGTCACGTCATGAATGGATTGAAAATGACATTTAATGTCAAATCTTTCTGATTTGAAAATAATAATATTACCATTAAAATCAACAATAATGATATACACTAGTGAAAATGATGATAAACATTATGGATTATTAATTACGAAATTAGAAAAAT